ATATGCACATGTGTATATATATATATCTCTCTCTCTCTCTCTCTGTGTGAATGTATATATATATATATAGGGGAATCAACTCGGTAGTCTGAAGAGTTTAGGCTGGGCCTTGGTGGCTTTCAGCGATGCCACACAAGTGATAAGGAGCCTCACGAACCCAAAGCCCCTACGTAACCATTATCATTATAATACCCCTACCGACACGCTAGGGAGTCCTTGCATGTTAAAATCTTGAAGCCCAGGACCCCACAGACCCCCAAACCGTACAAATCTAACAAAAACACAAACAGCCCCACTCTCCTTCTCCATCTTGTCCAGCCTCTCCTGAAATCTTGGACGGTTCCCGGGCGTAAGGTTCATATAAAGGGCAACGTGGGTAGAATAGGGCTTTGGGGCACCAAAACAGAAGGCGCTAGTACTACTGATTATTCAGAGCTCTGTACTGTCGAACGTTAGGGCTTTGGGCTTCAAAGCCTTGGGATTGCAGGCTTACGGTTTAGAACATGTTGAGTGAAACCTGAAATTCCCTGATCATCCGGAAGCCACTTCGACCCCGAATAACAGTAGCATGTTCGGCAACCCCTGAATGCATACTGTCAGAGAGAAGATGAGACTACCGCATTCAACGAACCCCCCCCGTAACGTAAAACCCGTAAGAGGAGGCCATAAAGGAGCCCCTCATAGAGTAGAAAAAAAGGAGCCTGCAGAGCCCTTGGAGGTAGCCATTATAAAGGTACCCATAGGGGGAGCCTTAAAGGAGGACCCCTTAGACTCAGCATCTACAACGGCCAGAACTGAGGGGCCCGGCCAGGCATTCCATCTTCAGGCGGTCAGGGAGAAGACCTTCCGATGAGCTGGGTTTAGGCTTTAGGCTTTAGGGGTTTAGGCTTTAGGGTTTTGGGTTTAGGGTTTTGGGTTGAGGGGTTTAGGCTTCAGGGTTTTGGGTTTTGGGGTGTAGGGTTTAGGGGTTTAGGTTTTGGGGGGTTGCATGCTTGCTAATAGCCGAAGGGCCTGAGAGAGCTCTGTAGGGTTTGATACTGTGTGTTTTAGAAGGTCTTATAGAGCTCCGTGTAGGCCCTAATTCAGGGCATGAAAGAACAGGGTTCGCTTGAGGGGTCTGTAAGGGTTGAATATAAGCATCATTTTTGTCATGCCTGTCTGCCTGCTGGGTGCCTTGATATGTAGAACAGGGCTTGCAGGGTATGGCGGAATTTAAGGAGATACAACTGTTGCTACTTATTCATACGTCTATGATATTTTTGGCCAGTGCCGGAAGACCCACATAGGCTCAAGCATCCTAACTTTGCAGCATCGGGCGTCCATAAGCATGAAGATTTGCTTTCTAGCGTTGCCCAAACAGTTCCCTTGAGTCCACGATGACTAATGGAATGTCCC